TTTATTTTTTTTTTTAATTTTAAAATATAATTTTTTTTTTTTCGAATTAGAATAGTTTTATCTATAAATAAAAATAAATGAAATAGAGTTTTGCCTGAAATATTTATTTGATAAATAATTTAGCAATTTTAATTATTAATATATTTTTCTGCCATACCCAAACAGTTGCCAAGCACTGTATCGGCAATGCGTTGTTAAGTGGGGTGCTGCCAAGTGGTTTTTATGCGCTTTTTGCAGTGCTGCCAACCCATTTGAGGCTGTTTTTTGCGTGTTCCACATTGCCGGCGTGTTTGGCCCTTGTCTTGTTGTTTTTGTCACCTAAATTACAAGTTTTTCATTTGTGGCTTTTCCAGTTGACGCCATAATATTTTACACTTTGTCGACGGAGACGACATGGCAAACCACAAAAACGTCATAGAGAAATGGCAGAAAAAAACGCTAAACTGCTTTACAATAGTAATTTGCAAATAATGGCATAATGGTTTCAATTGCTATAGAAATATTTGTGCAAGTTTTTCACGACGGCAATTGGAAAACCTTTGCTTACTCTGGTATATTTATTAAAATAATATTCCATTTTAATTAATTTATTTTTATATTATCCGTTGACTGAGAATTAAAAGTCTGTGTTCAAGCAACTATGCCTGATTAGTAAAAAAAAATGAGCGAGCGACCGACTCATGTGTTTTTATTAATCCATGAAAGGTGAGTGCGCCCACATGCACAGCTTTTGGAATCCCATTTTTTTCTACCTCTCTCTCTCTCTCTCTCTCTCATTCATCTCTCCTTCATACAAGGCAGTAATTGAAATGCCTTTACAGTCTGTTTTTTTTTTCTCAGAAACATTCTCTTATGTTGGTATTAAAATTTCTGGTATCCTCCCACAGTCAGAGTTTTCTCTTACTCTTGCTTCTTTTCAAATATTCACAAATATTCATATTGTATAATCTATAAAAGCTTTTCACCCACTTTTATAAATAGAGCTCCATCTCGCTGAAAATATTTAATTTGCTCTCAAAAATATACTTACATTTACCCCATTACACATAAAAAAGAATACAGTTCTTTTTTTTTTTTTTTTTTTTTGGCTGCCATTTATTCACGATTTCAACTAAAAATCAACTCACATTTCATTTAACAATGGCTAAATACTTAGATAGGTTTTACAGTTTTATAAACTAACAGTATTTTTCAAATACTAGCAAACATATATATATTTGTATATATATAAGACGCCTAGAAACCACAACGTTAAAACACGCAGAAAGAAAACAGAAAATTTAATGAAAATCAAAACAAACAGATTTTTGTTTAGAAAAAGTTTCGCTTAAATTTTTAGATATTTTTTTTCATGTCGTATGATTTATGTACACTTGACTTAGGCTTAGGTGAGACAATTGAAACATTGAATTTTTACAGCATATGTTTTTTTTTCTTCTTTTTTTTTTTTTAGTTTTTATATATGTACTATACTAGTTATGTTTGATTTATGTGAGTTGAGAGCGCGAGCAGGCAGATTTCTCTCTCTCTCTCTCTCATTCTCTGTCTATGACGCACAACGAACATTCGCTAAATGTTAAAATAAAGTGACAAATGTGACTAGTTGATTAGCTATGTATTTATATATCGAAATCAAATGTGAAGATTCCTTAGAGCGGATTACTATTGAATGATTCTTTGGTAAAATTATTGAAAGAAATTTATATTTGAATAGTTTTTCTAATTAATTTAACTTAATTTAATTCTTAAATTCAACAAGCAAATATTTAGTTGTTTTGAGTAAACATACCCCAAATTTTTCTAAATGAACCAATAAATAATAATAGTTTATAATAATAGTAGAGTTTTTTATGAACTAAAAATTGCACTTAGAATTAAATGAATTAAGAAATCTCTAAGCTTTATTTATCCACTCAATAGAGTCTTCACTGTATATATGTTTGTTCATGATGATTTCTATAAATGCAATGAGAGCTTTATTTAACTAATATTTCGGGCCAGTTTGAGTTGGCTGCAGAGCGCTCGCCGCCCAGCTGTATTGAAGTCTCCGTTTCTCCGCGCAGCTGTAACTGATCCCGGCCAGCTCATCACCGTAGCCGCTTAATCCTTGCCCGTTCCGCCTGAGAGCTGCTGCAGCTGTGTTGATTTCTCGTTCTGCTCAGCTGAGCGGCAGTCCAGGCCAAGTGCAATAGACCCATTAACAGAAATCGAGTTAGATGCTGTTGCCAATCGAGTTCACTGGGCCTGGGGGCAGCATCTGTTTGGGTAATCGCATGTGTATCAAGGTAGAAAGAAAGAAAGAAGAGAGAGAGAGGGAGAGCGAAACATATTGAAAGCGGCTTAAGTATGGGTTACACTGATTCCATTTTGTGTGTGATGTGTGTAGATGTGTTTTAATGGGTGTGGATGTCCGTGTGCGTGTGTGTGTGTATTTGTGTGTGGTGCGGGTCGAAGCTGTGGCACCCGCTGGTGAAATTAATCTTTGAATTAATTGCTTGTAGCTTAGCGCGGAGCATTAATAAATCGTGGCGCAGCACAAAGCAAACAAAAGCAGCAACAACAACAACAACAACTGGAGCAGGGGCTAATAAGGTGAGCTGCCCTCACAGTGTCCTGCAGCCTTCGTCCTTTTTCCACTAACTTTGATTTAATGCGCCTCCGTTTATCATTCTAATGGCGTGCGTGTAATGTATCCCAATCCCCAGCGGTCTCCTTCACATTTGTTTTAGTTGCAAAACAATCAGGCTAAGATTTGTATACCTAGTCCAGCCATTTCTCTACGTGCACGATGCGTATTTGTATCTGTGTGTGTTTGTGTTTGTGTGTGTGGGTTGACCATTGCTTATCTGTTGCCTAGGCTTTTGGGCTAATTTTTAAACAAACGTTCAGCACTTTTGCTACGTTGCGCCCAACTAATGTGCGGCCCTTAATCAAATGAGTTATTGATTACGCACATTGGCCAAACTGTGAGGGGAGAGAAAGGTCAGCTGAAGGGTTCTTAACGCGCTTAAGTTCTGCTGAAATTGTTTAACACAATGCCAGCTAACTGCTGAGGTCTCGACTTGGTTTGCCTGATAATTTAATCAAGATATTGTTAAGCATAAATTGTGGTCAACTTTTACATGAAGAGTTTGTTTAGAAGAGGTTAGAGAAGAGATTATGCACTTTTCATTTCACTTTGTTTCTAGAGACTCTATTGAGGGCAGAGCTACTTGAATCTAAGGTCAGAATATTACAGTTTTCAGAGATTGTATATTGGTGAATATGATGTGATATATGCATATGATATATATGGGTGATATATGCATTCGAGTTGGATGTTATGTAATTTGTGTGACTGTAGTTATTACAAATTGCTTCTACTCACTTTTGTGTATCAAGTAGAGCTCATTGTGTTCATCTACATCGCCTGGTTGATCAAAGGGATACATATTCATATCCGGCGAGCGACCAGAGGCCAATATACGTGGCCGATCCTCTTCGATGAGTTTCTCGCTCTCCTGTGCATAGATGTCGTGAATTCGAGCGGAGCACTTGAGCTGTAAATATAAATGAATTTGATTATTTGCATGACCTTTAATATTATTTGGTTGAGCTGCTAAGACCTTACCTTTAGGCGACCCTTGATGAAATGATGCGTAGTCACAACAAAGTTGAGCTCTAGAACAGAGGACTCCAAGTGTTCAGCCAGGTGTCTTTGTATGTCATAAGTGCGCAAATAGTTGGGTGGAACCTGCAGTAAAAGGAAATAATCATAAATATGCATATAATAATAATAATTAATATATGTATATGTATATAATTAATGAATTACTGTTACATATTATA